TTTTTTTTTTTTTTTTTTTTTTTTTTTTTTTTTTTCTTACTTTTTTGTCCATTGGCCTAGCGGTGCCCTTCGGAAGGCTGTGGCTCCAAGGCACAGCCATGAACTGTTTAAATGCAGACCAGAGTCCAAATCCAAATGGATTCAGGGCATGGTGGGGCTGTGCAACCTCACGAAAAATGACCCTCACTACCCTACTCACCAGATGTGCCAAATGGAACGAGTTTTCCCCTTTCCCACGGGAAAACGCAGTGCCTCGTCAAGCCGCGAGGCTGCTGCTATTTGAAATGGTAAGGGACCAAATTTCAGAAAACAAAAAAATCTGAAACACAACAACAAAAAAAATTCCTAAACGAGGTTAGGGATGACGGTCGTGAAAACGGACGCCTGGCCTACCTGCCCTTGAGTTACAGCTCCCGGCCTCTTATAAACGCGCCATGCGGTGCTCTTGTCTTAGTTTTCTTTTTTTTTACCTTCTCCTTTTTTTCTCTTTTGGCTGGTGACCCTAACCAACAGCAAACCACTCTGAACTCGTGGCCACTGCCACTTCTCACAATACCCAACTCCGAGTTTGATTCCCCACGGAATCGAACTAAAAAAAAAATAAAAAAATTAGGACCATTTCTCGATTTATGCATGTCATCCTTGCGTAAAGGCCATGCTAACCTTTGCGCGGCCAACTTCGGTCGTGCGATCTTTGCGATGGACGGTCAATTTCGATTGCGCTGACAGCAAGGTGGTGGCCAGCTCCAAAAGCAGCTATGCCCAGCAGGGCGCGACGTTTCAGATTCGACCCCGGTGTCCGTCGGGTAGTAATCTGGTGCTGTAACCTACTGGGATAGCTCCTAGTGATAGCAGCAACTCTTCTATATGAAGGGCTCGACCCCAGTCATTCCCCCTGCATGTGGCCTTGCAGGCCCTGCCTGCCTCAGGCTCTGCAGATCCTGCCTGCCTGAAGCCTAATAAGCTTGCTGGGAGGTCCTTGCCCCATCGATTGGCCGCTTGACCGCGGCTTGGTTGGCCACCTAACCGACATCAGTCTGTCGGCCCCTCGGCTCGCAGTCAACCCCCACAGGCCCAAGAAATAAAAAAAAACTCTTATTTCTCCTGTGTCGCGGACCTATACCCGGTGCATCCCTCATTTAGCATTCTTAGACCCTGAGTCGCGCGGCTGTTACTCTAGGTAGAATACGTCTCGTTGTACCACTTCCATGTCCGCACGCCTCTGCGGCTTCGACAAGAGCGGAGTACTGCCAATCACTTTCGTTATTCCCGGACGCCACACGCGTCCGGATTAAAGACTGAAAACTTTTAGTATCTCAATCATAGGTCAAGTCAGAATAAACTTTTGGCAAGCGTCAGTCTCATCAAGTCTTTCAATTCAACGAAAAGGTCAGACAACGTCCGACGTTAAAAAACCTCGGCAAATACCCTTGTCAGGGTATTTGCCTCGACAACATTTCCGGACCCCATTGAATGACGACCCAGTTATCGAGCGCGTCGGCTCCCTCGCGAGCGAGGGCCCTCCCGACCATATCACGCATGAGTTTTTACACTAAAACATTCAATCAAGAGACAACTAGGGATCGACGCATAACATTTTCGCGAACCACCGAGATGGACGTGGTTGCATCGCTCCTTCGCCTCTCTAGCCGGGTGCGCCAGCTGTACATCCCGTGGTCCCCTACGACAGGACAGGTTCCCGCGGGGCATGAGCTTTGCTTCCCTAAGGGGTTGTCACCACCCTTAGAGACGTATCCCTACCGAACTACTGACCCACGGGCGAAAGTTTTTAGATGCAATTGCAGAGGTAGGTCAGCCGAGGGCGTTTGCTCATTCGCCGTAGTATAGATACGCTTGGTCAACGCCAAGTGGACCCAATCGTCGTCCGTTCCTAGGGCGCTGATCTTCTAGGTACGAAGCGGACGTCGGTCGACTAAGACTGTCTCAACCAAGCGTGAAACCTTCAACTTTAATCCTAGTCATTTTAACATACAATCAAAAGAAGGTTATAACAATCATGCAAAGTTACATCGAAAGGAATCAACTGTAGTCAATAGAACGATATGTCCAATCTAAAATAATAATTAAAAGAAGCAAAATCTTCATTTGATACATCCAATGTCGCAAGATAAAAAAAATAATCCGACCGCCTCAGGTCGAACTCCACAAAACAATCATACAAACGCCAACGAGAGGTTGTTTTTTCGACAATAACATAGATGTCGCCGACAAGGTAATCGGCTGCCTTAGTTTTGACTTGATGAGATGCGTTGCCAAAGTGATTCATTTCACCTACCGCCGACTCAAAATTTGACACGCTCATACCTGTCTCCATACTTTCTCAATCTTATTGGATGACAGACTACTTGATCAGGGACATTGCTTGAAGTGTTGCATGTCTCTCCTTTTAGGAAGTGGTTTGGGGTACTCCTTCTCCTCGCCCGAGCACAAAACTCGGATCTTAGAAGTCGAGCCGTCCCCACTGAATCGGCAAAATACCCCCCCGTAGAACGCTCCACTCTAGGTCGATAATAGGGCCGGCTCCTGATCAACGAACCCCCGCCTCAGATGCTTCATGGAGAGAAAACATGTGTCCACTACAAGTCACTTTCAATTGTTCTCATTTTTCTTAAGTTCAGGGTAACTTAAGCAAAGGGAAATCAAAAGGGATAAAGCATGAGAATCATTTGGACAGGTATAGGCAGATAAGGTCATTCGGAATAGAATGGGTAATTCTCGGGAAAAAACCAAATCCGTTTGACCTTATCTGCTTTCTTTCAATCGGATTTATTTACGACGTGCATTGAATTGACCTTTTTCAAAACAACAAGTCCTTATTAACATCTAGGTAGGTAAGAAGTAAAAGGAAGACAATCATTTTCTCTTCTCTCAAATAGGCATAATCAATCTCCTTTGCAAACATCCTTCTACCTACCTGCACAACATGCATAGAAAACAAGTTCAAAAGAAAACAGTATAATCCCAGACTCACGTCAGATCTTCCTACTCACATGCATGATTCACATAATTTTCTCTACCTTTTCTTTCGAACTCTCAAACGAATAGGGTCAAGCAAAGTGTGGGTTCACACAGGTGTGAAGGGATATCTGAATCATTCAACTGACCTTGAGTGAAGTGGCGCAGAAGAAGTGCCCTGACTCACTCAAGAAAGCCAACCAACAAGCCGTGTGTGCCGCCGAAAGTTGTAGTCTCAAGGAAAATCCTGTTCAAACCACCTCTCACTCGCACGCCTCATCCGCGGTAACCCAAGTATGAAAACGGTGAGTCGCACATGTTCCAGAATAACACTCAGTCTGGTACCACGTCAGTCTCAATTGGTTCTAAGCGGTCCCAGATGGTCCCACGCGGTTCTAGGTGGTCTCATGCTGTCAAACACTTCGCCGAATGACTATTAAGTCGAAAACCGTTTCCGCCACACTTGTCAAAAAAATAAAACCGGTGCCGAATCTCAAAACCGTCTGCGTTGGGACCGCCGCAAATTACAGCCCACGTCCCACGTCAGTCCCAACTGAATCCAGGCAGTCCCAAGTAGTCCAGTCCCACTGCCGCAAGTGTTGGGTAGTCCTAACTACAAAACATTTATCTCATATGCCGCATAAAAAAAATAAACCCGCCTGTCGTGCTCAGATTTCGTACCGTCGCATGCCATCAACCGTCACCATGTCACGCTACTGTTGCCATACACACCAATGGTAGCAGACCTTCACCAAGAAAAGCAGACGCCGCGCCGAAACAAAAAACCCTTCAACGCCGTAAAAAAAACCTCCACTGCGGCGTCGCACGTCCCACCGTCGTGCTGCAGGTCCACTGTCGTGCCGAACTCTCGTCGGAAAATGACAGCACGTCATCGCACCGTGCCCCGTAGAAAAAAAAAAACCGACAGCGCTCCGTCGTGCCATACCACCGTAAAAAAACGGCGGCGCTTCGCCGTGTCATACCACCGTAAAAAAACGGCAGCGCTTCGCCCCCACAAAAAGACGGAGCCGCTTCGTTGTGCCGTACCTCCGTAAAAAAAACGGTAGCGCTTCGCCGTGCCGTACCACCGCAAAAAAAAAACGGTAGCGCTTCGCCGTGCCGTACCACCGCAAAATAATGGCAGCGCTCTCACACCACCGTCGAAAAAAACAGAACCGCCGCCACAAAAATTCGGCAGCGCTTCTGCACCACCGTCGAAAAAAACAGAACGGAGCCGCAAAAATCCGGCAGCGCTTCCGCATCATCGTCGAAAAAAGCCTGCGTCGCCGCCGCAAAAGTTTGGCAGCACTTCCGTACCACGACCGTAAAAAGTTTGTGCCGCCGCCGCAGAATTTGGGCAGCACTTCCGTACCGCTGCCATAAAAACTCGTGCCGCCGCCGCAGAATTTCGACAGCACTTCCGTACTGCTGCCGTAAAAAAACAACAGGCCAA